CTGTGCCTGCCTCACATGCACAAGTTCCTGAGTTTGATCCCCAATATCAGAAAAAAAAATGATCAATGACTTTAGCTGGGATATAGTTCAGCAACATAGTGCCTGCCTGGCAAGAGTGAGTTCCTGAGTCTGATCCCCAAAACCAAATGTAAAAAAATGATTAATGACTTCCAAGAGGATATGACTGAACAGTTGAATGAATTAAGGAAGACAATGTATGTTTCTTCAAGGATATGAAGAAACAATTCCACAAAGAGATATTTTGAAGAAAAACAGGAATTTGGGCTAGTAAAAGTGCAATAAATCAAATCAAAATCTCAGGGTAAAGCCTCATCAAGATATAGGATTTGGGGCCAGGGAGTTAGCTCAACAGCATTGCCTTGCAAGCACAAGGTCCTGAGTTCAATCCCCAGTACTGAAAAAAAAAAAAAAAAAAAAAAAAAAAAAGATGTAGGATCTATCAGAAGACAGAATTCAAAATTTCAAGGCCTAAAGATAAGGTTAAAGAATTATTATAATCAGACCCTAAAAACAAAAACATAGGAAAATCATGCACAAAACATCCAAGAACTTTAGGACATAATTAAAAGATCAATTCTTGGATGTAGAAAAGGGTACTGACATTGAGACTGATGGCATAAAAAATCTATGCAATAAAACAGGGACAGAAAATTTCCAAAATCTTAAAAAAGGTATAGATATCTAGGCACAGAGACATTAAAAAAACCAAACAATGATCAGAAAATAATATCTGCACATCACATTGAGGTTAAACTGTCAAGAATACAGAACAAAGAAAGATCCTGAGAGCTGAGAAGAGAAACACCAACTCATTCATAGACATAAACCCAAAAGAATGACTTCAGATTTCTCTACAGAAATTCTAAAGGCCAGGAGAGTAGGAAACAATGAATTTCAAGCACCAAATAAATAAATCCTAATCTTGACTGCTATATCCATATGATCTGTCCCTCAACTGAGACAAATAAGACTGTGAAAGATAAACATAAAGAGTTCATTACCACTAAGTCAGCATTACAGAAGATACTTAAAAGAATCCTAAACACAGAAAACTAAGAATGATAAGCTATTGGGCATAAGAAAAGAGTTAAATATTTAAAACAACAAATGAAAGAATATATTTTATACCTTTTGATAATTATTCTGAATGTAAATGGTCTTAACTCTATAATTAAAATACATAGACTGGACCGGGGATTTAGCTCAGTGGCACTACATCTGCCTCACAAGTGCAAGGTCCTGAGTTCGATCCCCAGTACCCCCCTCAAAACAAATGGTACATAGCTTGGCAAATTGGATTAAAACACAAGTCCCAGCTGTGCTATCTGCAAGAACTACACCTCACTAGCAAAGACATTTACAAACTGAAAGTGAAAGGATGGAAAAAATTCCATACAATCAGATACCAAAAGCAAGCAAGAGTAGATGTACTCATAACTGACAAAGCAGATTTCAAGATAAAATTAGCAAGTACAATGAAGGTTACTACACATTGTTAAAAAGAACTACCCACCAAGAAGATGTAACAATTGTATATGAATATGCACCAAACAGTGGTGCATGCAGATTCACAAAACAAACTCTACTCAAAGGGACACATTGGTCCCCATAGTAGAGAACTTCAATACTCCACTGTCAGCAACAGATAGGATATCCAGACCTCCCAAAAAAATGAACAAAGAAAACTTTACAATTAAATTACTCCTCAAATCAAATGGATTTAACAGCTCTCTACAAAACATCCTTTCCAACAACTACAACATATACATCCTTTCATGAGTTCATAGAACATTCTCAAAAATAGATCATATTTTAGGTCATAAAGCAAACCTTCACAAATGCAAAAAATTGAAATAACTGCTAAGATTATAGTTGAAAGAAATATAAATTAAGGCCAAGGGAAACTATACAAATGCATAGAGATTGAACAATTTATAGAGGGCAATCAGTCCTCTGACTGCTTAGAAAAGAAGACAGTGAGGGATAAAGAAAGAAGGACAATAGAGACTTGCATAATTTCAAAGTACATGGACTGGGAGGTCAGTGTTTCAGAGTGTGCGAAGACAAAGACACTGAGTTTGCCACTATTTCCTAGGTTCATACAGTAATCAGAGGTAGTATCAAGTGACTCAGAGGTCAACAGTAATCTTATGTTGATGAGGCTGTTATGCTGATGAAAACAGTGGAATGGACAAAGCATTCTTACAACAGTAGGTGGAATGAGTAGGGCAGATAAGGAATTTATCCCTCCCCAGTGAAACTTTTCTTTTTATTATTACTACTCTGTTATGAAAGAACCAGGATATCTTCACCCAATGTAATCTTACACTTGAGTGTCACAATACCACTGGACCATTGAGGCTTCACCTGTGACCAGGGATAAAATGTTTCCACATACCATAGCTAGCTCATGGGCAAGAAGAGTAGGCCGGGGTAAGGGGAAAAAATGAGAATCAAGACTTGTCATGTAGAGGTACAAGATCCCAACAATGAATGTAACTGTACTGTATCCCTAAAATGTAGCAATAAACTCAATTAAAGCTGAAAAAAAAAAAGAAGAGTAGGCCTTAGACAGTTCTGATCATAATTTAATTATAAAATGATTTTTCTCCAAAAGTACATACAGTGGCTCTCAGCAACAGTCTACTTTTGAGTGATCAGAAGGTCCTAGAAGATAATGGTGGAGGGATAAAAATATTCTCAGAATCAAATAAAAATAGAAACATAATATACCCAAATCTCTAGGATATAGTAAAGGCGGTTGTAAGAGAGAAGTTTATGAGGTCCTACATCAAAATATCAGAGACATCAAATAAATAATCTAATATGCATCTAAAGATCTTACAAAAATAAAACCCTATAGGAGGAAAGAAATAATAAAGATTCTGAAATTAGTAAGGTGGAGACTAAAAGAACAATATACAGTATCAATGGGACAAAGAATTGTTTCTTTGAAAAAATAAAGAAAATAGATGAACCTCTAGTAAAATGAACCAAAAGAGAAAGAGAAGGTACAAATCAACACAATTACAGATGAAAAAGCAGATTTTACAACATATAGCACTGAAATCCAGAAAATCATTAGGTACAATTTTGAAAATCTATATTCTAATAAATTGGAGGATCTGAAGAAATGAATAACTTTCTAGACAAATATCACCTACTAAAATTCAACCAAGATTTTTTTAAAAAAACAAAATTGAATTATGGCAGTTTAGTTTTTGCCATATATTTCAGGAATGTCTGTCGTTTCAGGCCTTACCCAGTGTACACCAAGAGTCAAGAGTGTGCTTGCTGGAGAGAGCCAGTTCAGCATATGGAAAAGTGGCACTCAGAGAGCTGTCCCATTACTTTAGATAAAGAAAATGTCACTATGGTGGCAGAAATCTCCTTTGGTTGCTCTAAGCAATTACTGAGAAATATAAATGAACTTCAGGTCCTTAGATAAATATCTTTTGACAAAGCTCCATGTTAGTGACTGAATGCAGAGAACTAAATAACTAAGATCACAGTCATCTTCTCAAAAGATGAGAGTACTATTCTTTGCCTCTCATCACTGGAAACAGTGTTGGTGATCTATAATTTTGATTATAATTATAGTCTTCCTGTTCGGGCAATCTTCACCATTACTCCATGAGATGGTATTTCTGTTTTATGGAGAAAGAAGAAACAACTTGCCCTAGGACACAGGCTGAGTATATGGCAGAGCCATCATTCCAATAGATTTTCTGATCCCGAGTCTAACACCTTTTACACAAAAGCTTCATTACAGTCTGAAAAAGTGCACATTCTCTTGACTGACCCCACACCTAAAGACATTGGGAGAGTCCATTTCTCTCCAAAAAGCATTACACATCAAGATGGGAAAATGGTGTTCACAAGATCCTGGCCTTCCTGCAGTGGCCTCCCCAACAGTAGCAGGGCAGATAGATGCATTTCACATTAAAAGTGAAGAGGAGACAGATCTTGAGGACTCCAGTTGAAGGCCAGGAGTCCAGTAGACTTTATTTCAGTAAGTGTAAGATTGATTTAATTGGTTGTCTCATAGAGTGAGTCAAGTGAGGCCATGTTGAAACTATAAAGTACTGGCAAAAATGGAGATGGTTTCTTAGATTGTCTCGATTTATTCTGGCCTAGATGTTTACTACTGGTATGATGGTGGACATATCTAACCTTTAAAGAAAAACCAGGGTAATAGTTTTACTAACCACATAGGGTAGGTATAACCATTAAATGAGTCCCTCTGTATAAGGGGTTTAGAATATTTTTTATGGTAACAGTTACAAAGATCCTTTTAAGAGGGTACAGTGGTGCTCTAAGACTATTGTCTTGGGGCTAGGTTGAAACAAAGAAACAGGCAGAGGCTGGAGCCCAAGCTTAAAGGTAGAACATGTGCTTAACATTGACAAGACCCTGGGTTCCAGCCCCCAGCCCCAGTCCCCACACAACCCCACCCCCCACAAAAAAGTAGTCAATTTTATCTCAAGGGAAGAATCCATCTTGGCTTTGGAAATGTCCCTAACTTAGAGTTTTAATAATACAGATGTAAGAAACAGAGTACTCTTTTCCCTCTTCTCACCTTTGGTGCAATGAGTGTTAACCATGAACTCTGGATTTGTATATGGGGGACAGCCTTAGAATGAAGGCACTGCTTGTACTTCTTTTTTCACCCTACATTACCTGTGACCCACAGGAATAAATATTTCCACATGGTAAAGTCATATACAACCACATACTTAACATGATAGCTTTATGAAATAATTATCTGCTCTGAAATTTTTAACATTTTGATATTTTCTTCTTTCTTTTTTAAAATATAGGGAGAATTAAGTAGGAGAGAGAAAAGGGTATAGAAAAGAAGGAAGAAGGAAAGATGGAGAGCAGAGAGAAGAGGCTGTGTCTCTTAAAGTTCAAAGTGAACGAATGACAGTAATGAACTATTCAGGTTATAATTCAAGTAAATTGATCTTATGACTCACCCGTGGGTCTCGATCTAATCTTAAGAACCTGTTTGGTCAGGCACCCCACAAGAAGGTAACTCTTTTCCTCTGGATGCTCCTCTAACTCTGTCAGAAATTGCAGCCTAGAGCCACCAGCTCCCACCAGCTCAGAAAATCCACCTTCTTTCTGTGCCTCACCTCGCAGCAATGTTTTCCAGGTGACGGACATCTTCCTAGGTATGTTGTCATCCCATGGAAGTTGCTTCTCACTTAGCTGGAGGGAGGTTAGAGGAGGGCTGAGGAAGAGAATGGCAGGAGGGTGGGAATGACATCAGCTTTCCCAGTAAGACTGGAATAGGGCAACAACTCCAGATACCTTCCTTGTTTTTAAAAGAAACAGGGCCTGTGCTCATTCACTCCTGCAGAAAATATGGACAGAACTATGATGTGGCCTGCATAGTGCTGGGCATGGGATACAGAGCTGACCACAGCCGAGGCCCTTGCCTTCCTGGAGCCTCTAGTTTTAGTGGGAGGCACAGTCAACAAGTTAGTGGGATCATATCAGGTAGTTATAAGTGCTCTGTAGGAACAAGATGGAATCATGGGGCATCGAAGGTACAGATTAAGGAGCCAACATGACACTGAATGAGGACAATGCCCAGGGAGAGAGGGAGAAACCAGGCCTGGTGAGTATTTACATTAAGTCTAACAGTCTGCTTGAACCCCCCCACACCCCATGGCCTACATACATACATAGAAAACTCAGAGAGCTATTTTTCCCATCTACCAAAGTAAGTAAAGATGTCTTCATCTTGGACAGTCAGCACAGACTGGGGTGAGTGGACAGAGGGGCCTCTGATGAAGGGAAGGCACCTCACAAACTGACAGACTCAAAAGCTAGGTGGAGAAAATTGTGACTGGCTGGATCCCAAAACAGCAGATCCTGAAAAGAAACAACTCTTTCCAAAACAAACAGAAAATGTTTTAATTCAATTTGTTTTAAATTTTTTATTATTTGTCATTTTCCTTTATAGGTACTTTTTCTTTTCTTTCTTTTCTTTTTTGCCCTTTTAATTCTTTTTTCTTCCTTCTATCTTTCTTTTATTGCTTATATCCTCTTCGTTTTTCTTTTTTATCTTTTTCTTGTTCAACATATTCACCCCGTCACTCTGTCCTAATACTATTAGTTTTCTTTTACTGATCAGTAGTACTCCCTGTCTTGCTTTTCTGTCCTCATTGTCATCTTTCATTGATATTAATATTTCAAACTTTACTTTTTCATTCTCTGGTTCCCCAGCACTGCTACATTTACTACCGTACCTATTAAGCTTAATGAATATTTAGAGAGCTAATTAACTCTATACCATTGCTGTTGAATACTGTTTTATTGTTAGTAGATCTAAAGTTCCATTTAGTAGAGATCAAAACATGAGAAGAAAGTGTGACAAAAATGGCTCCAAAAACTCCTAACTTTCCTAAAGATGATGCATGGGGGCATTGAAGGGGGGAAAATAAAAGCCACATAGTGGAGTTATTTGAAGTGATAATAGAAGAGATACAAAACAGATCAATAAGGCACATAGCAAGCTTACAGAAAATATAACTAAAAGATATAATGGACCTGATAAAACAGTGAGTCTACAGAGTACACCAATAGAAAATCAAAAAACCTAGCTTTGTTACAGCAAAAGAAAATGCCAAAAGAGGGAAGAAGCAACCCAAACAGTGGGAAAAAATTTTGGCAGCTGCTTCTCAGACAAAAGATTGATATTTAGAATACACAAAGACCTCAAAAAATTGGACCTCCAATTTTAAAGACCCAGTCCAAAAATAGGCATCTGAAATAAATAGACACTTTTCAGATAAAGAAGGAGAAATGAGAAATAAATATATAAAAAACTGTTTAACATCACTGGTCAGTCAAGAGATGCAAATTGAAACAACACTGACATTCCATCCCACATCAGAAAAATAGCTATTTTCAAGAAATCTGCCAGAGGCCTCCAAGCAGCACAGACCACTGAGGAATGCTGGAGCCACACAGCTAGGCTGCTACTCCACTCCCAGAGCCCCAGGGCCTGTACCAGTGAGGAACAGAGCTCGCGGGCACCAGACAGTATCACCCCAGGACTCCCCCCCACCACTGGTTGAGCCGGTACCTGGTCCCACACCACAGAGGCAAAGGGGGTCATAAAGGCCATTGTACTGAGCTCAAGATAGAGCGGAAGGTAGAAGTGAACAACAGAAAGCGGGCCTCTCTCAGGCTCCTTAATGAGAATTGAAGCCCACAGGAAAAGTGAAGCAATGTAAGCACACCAGGCTACCACAGAGGTAGAGGTAGCTGGAGGGATCACCACCTCCTACTGGAACCTGGACTATCCTCAGGGGAAGGGCAGCTGGAAGCTGCAGTAAAACCTCGCAGAGTTCAACCCTGCAGGAGGTCAGGGAGCTCAACCAGGGCCTTGAAGCCTGAAATCAGCCTGGATCTCAGCAGTCCGCTGCTGGCTTGCTGAGACGGACTGAGATCTGCACACTGCTGCCCGTTGTCTCCTGTGACAGCAGAGACACACCCTGAAGGAGGCCCTTCATTTTGATTTTTTGTCTTTACAGTTATTTTTTCTTTTCCTCTTATTTTTAATTTAAAAATTTCCTCCACGCTTTTTAAAGTCTTCCCTTTTTTCCCCTTTTTCCTCTTTCCCACTCCGTCTCTGACTCCAGCACATTGTTCTTCATCTCGCTTTTTGTTCCTGCTCCTGCCCTAATTTGCATTTCTTCTTTCTTCTTTTCTTCTCTTTTTCCTTCTCTTAATTGTCACTAGTTTCAAAGGAAAGTGAGTTGAATTTCTAGCTTCCCTATTGCTATTATTGTTATTTCTTGTCTTTGTTCTTTCATCCTGTCTTTCCCTTTTGTCTTCAACAGTTTCCTAAAGTTTGCGTGATCTTCCTGTGTCCTCTGGCTTCACTTGAAACCTTCACCTATCCTTTTACCTATCTATTTCTCTTTTCCCAACTCCTTCTAAGTCCCCATCCTGAAGGGTAAAGTTGCTATATTCAGGAGTATATTCACTATAAACATATTTGGGGCTGGTCCTTGATTTTGATTTAATTCACACAGTTAAAGGTGATAGGTTAATAACTGCCGCAGATTGTCAATTTCTAAACTGTGCTTGAGGCTACTGTGTTGCTGATTGTATCACTTGGGCTAAGGTGTTGTGATAGATATAATCAGTTGTTCTTTCTGGTATTATGAAAATAGAGTGTCTTGGGGCTGGGGATTTAGCTCAGTGGTGCCACTGCCTGCCTTGCAAGAACAAGGTACCGAGTTCAATCTCCGATACATAAAAAAAGGTAGAATAGAAAAAAGGAAAAGAAAAAATGTGAAACAGGAAAAAAATGGAAAAAAAGTCTTTGTAAATAGGGAAGGGTGGAGGGGGTGAAAGGAGGTCAGGGGTAAGGGGAAAAAATAAGAACCAAGACGTATCATGTAAAGGTACAAGATCCCAATGAAGAATGTGACTATACTGTATACCTAAAACATACCAATAAACTTAATGGGGGAAAAAATAAATCAGCCAATAACAAATGCTAATGGGGCTGAGGGGAAAAAGGAACCCTTCTACATTGTTGGTGGGAATATACACTAGCATAACCATTGTGGAAAAAAGTGTGGAGATTCCTCACAAAATTAAAACTAGAAATTCCATTTCCAGTTATTTCTTTCTAGCTATTTTCCCAAAACAGTTAAAGACATCATATTCCATTAATACATGCATACTCATGTCTATAGCAGCACAATTCCAATTCATAATACCTAATTCTTGGAAGCAGCTTGATGTTCATCAACAGATTAATGGATAAAGAAATTGTGGTATTTATACAAAATTGAATACTACTCTGCTATGAAGAAGGATAAACTTGAGTCATTTGTGGGAAAATGGATGCACCTTTAGACCATAATATTAAGTAAAATAAATCAGATACACAAGCTTAAATATCACATGGTTTCTCTTTTATGAGAAGCCCAAACTAAATAAAGAGCACAATAAAAGTTAAATAATAGAAAGTAGAAACATAGATCTTTTGGGATAAAAATGAAGGCTAAAATGAGAAAGTTGCAAGAATATAAATTTAATGATGGTACCTATGAAAATCAAACAGGAAGGAGGACCAGTAAGAGAGCCAAAGTCAAAATTTTGAAGAAGTCTTTCATTTAGCTGACAAGAGGAAGAAGAGAACCAAAGAAAAAATTTAAAAGTGTTAGGAAGAGAATTAAAACAGAAATATGTTACAGAGAATAAGAGGTGAGAGATGAAGAAAGGAAAAGGTGATCGGGCCTGTGAAATGTAGAGAATGTGGGAAAAATGATACCTAAAGATATATCACTGACCTTGAATTGCAGAGAGCTCATAACCCTCAGTGATCCGTTTATGTAATGTGGTCAGGATAAAGTATAGGTGCAAAGGAGTTGATGAGATAACAGTGAGATTCCTTAGAATGTTGCAATAATGAGGGTCTTCCAGAGAAGCCAAACCAAGAGAGAGTGAGGGAGAGATTAATTACAGGAATTGGCTTACGCCATCATGGAGGCCAACAAGTCCCACAGCCTGCTGTTACAAGCTAGAGAATCAGAAAATCAGGTAGTGTAATTCAGTCCAATACTGAAAGCGTAAGAACCATTGGAGTCAATGGTATAATTCCTGTCCCAGGAATTCTAGAGGCAATTCTAGAATCCAAAGGTCAGTGAACCAGGATTTTCACCAGCCATGGCAAGATAAAACAAACATGCCAGTTTAAGAAGAGAAAATGTATCCTTCTAACTTTTCTCTGTTTAGGGCCTCAACAAACTGGATGATACCCATCCACATTGATGAAGGTTTGTCTTCTTCCCTCAGTCTACTTATTCCAAATGTTAACCTCCTGCAGAAACAGCCTCACAGACACACCTACAAGTAGTGTTTTATGAGAGGAGTACCCCTTATCCTAGGAAGTTGTCATTGAAACAAACATCACAGATGGAAATATTAAGATAATTTTATAATTTTGTTGGTGATGATGATGATGATGATGTTATTGTTTTTGAGACAGGGTCTCTCACTATGTAATTCAGGCTGACATCCAATTTACAGCAATCCTCGTGCCTCAACCTCCCAAAAGTTGAGATTACAGGTGTGCACCATTACATACTACTTGTAATATACAGCATTTTTACCTTTCTTCTCTCTGAAGTTACTACTCTGCATATCCACATGACCAATTTTGAATATGACCAAGAATAAAAGATAATTCCCAGAGGAAAAATATAGATTGCCTAAAATAATTGTAAATAATTTTCTTCTATATATTAAGTAATATTATACTCAAAAATCCTTTGCTATAGGAAAAAAGTTAAAGATGATAAATTTCTAGCCCTACTCCAACTTTCAAGCTTACTTAAGTCACGTTCTAAAATTAGAAATTTATTTTAAATATTTCTATAATATTATTTAGAACATTATCTTTTAAACAAAGATATGAATTTTTATTCCTTCTCTGTATTAATTATTACTCCAGTATCAAATTTGTAGGGTGGTGATACATACTTCAAGGACACTAATAGTTTTTACATTACACACACCAATCCTCTATGTTGGCATAAGGGAAAAGATTTTACTGTTTGCTTAAGAGGGTAATCTGTATGGCCCAGTATGTTCCCTGTAAATTAAATAGAACCACAAGAGACCCTTATTATGAACCCCAAAGAGCTCCCCACTCCCAATATTGCTCCTCCTTGTTTTAAAAGTCCTAAATCAGGTTCTTAAATTAGGAAATGCTATATAGTAAGCAGATGTACACATGTGCATGCACACACGTCCATATACACACTAGTATTAATCACTCAATAAACATTAAGTGTCAATAAATACAAGTGACCTTGTCCTGAAGGTTAGTGGACAAGAAAAAAAAATGTGGTCTTCTGCAAAGTTTAATGATTTCTGGCCATGGCCCATTAAGGTAACAGTTAGTTACTGGTCAAATACAGGTTTGCTCAACCAACCACTTTCTACTATGCCATGGTTAGAAGTTCTCCCTTTCCAATCTTGAAGTCTTAATGTGGTAAATTATGCCAATTCCTTGTCATAGCAGAGAATTGTAGCCTCTAATCTAAGCAAGAAAAGCACTGATGTTAAGCAAACACAAAAGTGAGCTGTTGGACAGAACTGGAGCCAAAGTTCTGCCAGTCTGTAATGTTTTGCATCCAGAGAAAGAGATGATGTTTATCTAATCATGCAGTTTAAAAGGCCCATAGCCTACAGGTCAGGGACCCTCTCCTGGAGTCTAACATCTGCACTTGCTAGATGTCTGTGCAATTCCCTGTAATACAAAGGACAACAGGGGACCACTTATTGATCTTATCTCCATGAGTTTTCCCCATAAACACTGCTCCAACAGGCCTGGTGCATGTGCTTCTTGGCCATCTGCCCTTGATGCACAAGTACCAACAATAAATCAGGCACTGGAGACACAGAAATAAACAAAATGGAAAGTCTCTGCCCTGAAGCTTACATTCTCCTGGGAAGAGAGAGAGCAAATGAACAAATAAGTGCATATTGTACCAAGAGGTGATGTGATAAAAGGAATAAATAAATCAGTGAAAAGGAATAGAGTGATCATGGGGCTTACAGAGGAGTCAGCACCAATTACTCTTGTAAAATGACATCTGAGTAGTAACCTAAAGGAAGCAAGGAATTGAGCCACAGGTGTATGCAGGGGGAAAGCATTCTCAGCAAGGAGAAATGAGTTCAAAGTCCCTCAGGCAAGAGAATACTTGGTATTATTGAGCAAAGGAGGCTCTTCCTGTTATAAGAGATCAAGAGCAGCTGAGTAGCAGCACATGAAGTCCCCCAAACCATGGCAAAGGCTTCAGAGTTTACCTTGATTCAGATGGAAAGCCACTAAAAGTTATTCACTCAAATTCCAGAAAAATCCTATAGGCTTTCTGTGAAGAAGAGATAGGTTAAAGAGAAGTATATAACAAAATGTGGAAGCAGGAGGCAGCTAGGAGTTGGGTGCAGTAATGTTGGCAAGAGGTTAAGTAGCTTGGAGACAGATGGGTAGTGATAATTTTCATGAAAAGTTGGATTTGGGAAACATTTCCAAGATAGAACTGAGAGGATATGTTAATGGATTTGATATTGAAATATAAAAGAAAGAAGAATGACATTGTCTATTTTTCAAGCAACTAGGGGCCATTTTTTGACACATAAACGACAGGATTAACTACAAAACTATATATATGAGTCTGGCATTCAGAGAAGTCATCTGGACGGAGATGTAAATCTTGAGAGTCACCAGCGTACATGTAGCACTTAAGGGCACAGATGAGATCTGTTAGGACAGATTTGGGACCTATACGAATCTGCAAGATCCTTTCAATAGATTCACATAGTCAACATTATTTTAATAATTTTAAGATAACGTTTGCCTTCTCTCACAGTTGTACAGTGGAATTTTCCAGGGACTACATGAGATGGATGTGTTAGGACAGTGGTGGCAAATCTATAGCACACATGCAACAGTGGGCACAGGAGCTCTCTTTCTCTTGGCACCCAAGCCAAGCTGCCCCAGCATCACCTTCAGGGGCCGAGCATCAGATAACAGCACACACACGGGCCGTGGGTATTCTCAGAAAAGAGTAGAGTACCAGCAATGATGTCACAGCCATAACTCATCAGCCATGACTGGTCAGAGCTTTCACATCGCACTCCATCTATACGAGGCTCACTGTCACTGTGTTAGGGCAACAGCTTGGATGCAGGAACAGACTGAGAATCCAGTTGCTTTCTATTAACCCAGACATTAAAGGTATCTGTAAAAATAACTATGCTTCACTAAATTTGGGGGGAATATTTTTCATAAAAATGTACTACTTAGAGCTGTAGCAGAATGTTTGCTCCAAGCTTAAAAAAAAGAGGAGGAAAAGGAGGAGGAGGAGGAAGAGGAAGAGGAAGAGGAAGAAGAAGAAGAAGAGGAAGAAGAAGAAGAAGAAGAAGAAGAAGAAGAAGAAGAAGAAGAAGAAGAAGAAGAAGAAGAAGAAGAAGAAGAAGAAGAAGAAGAAGAAGAAGAAGAAGAAGAAGGGGAAGGGGA